GTTAACTACGCGTTAGATTACCACGCGTTAAATTTCTACGCTTAGAATTACCGCGCGTTGCATTACTACGCGTTGGATTACTACGCGTTGGATATCCCCACGCTGAATTATTACGCGTAGAATTTCCACACGTTGCATTACTATGCGTCGAATTACCACGCGTTGCATTACTACACGTTGGATTACCACGCGTTGGATAACTACACGTTATTCGAAGCTGTCATTCTCGCATCTGCGCATGCGTAATCCTCGCGCTCTGATTGCTCCGCATTTTTCCTCAATATTTTCAAAAACGAAGCTTAAAACCCCATTTTTGCAAAGGGAAATCTTACTCAAAATCACGTCAGCTACCATTTTAGAGACCTACATTGCTACACCCTGTATACTTCACTTTATTACTACTTCATTTTCAGTCAGAAAAGTAATTTCATAAAGTCAGAATCGTCGAGGATCTGCTCTTGAATTGTTTATTATACCACGATGATTAAAAATTTTGTCTAATTGATATTTTGCAAAGCGCAGATGGTGCACGCTTGTTGGTGGTATTACTTCTCCAAATTCACGGAGTTCATGGACACGGTAAGTACGAGACACCCGAATATACCTTTTGCATCGGAATGAATCAAATTGCGATGTATGATTTGTTATTTTATTTCTCTTTTGGTGACTCGTTGTTGGTCTAAGATTTTCTTGTTGTACACCAAATTTGTAGATCTTCTTCGTACTGAGGAAGAAGAACGATCACGTGTCGACGTTGCACGTTATTCATCATGGTTGCATGCCAATGTCAGTGTGGTTCGGCGTTAAACTCACACCTGGTACGTAGGCGATCCTCTTTAATTAAATATTAATTTAAAAAAGAGAATGTACAAAAGAGTCGTGGAAACGGTTTACGAAAGAAAATTAATAAAAGGAACTGTATAAAAGGATATGAACTAAAATTCATAGTTAATGCTTAAAGATATTGTTCCTTAGAGTTTTACAGTTTTAATAACTCTTATTAGAGCTATAATAACTAGTAACAAAAGGCAGTTAAAACAGTTTGGAAATTACTTTTAAACCGCATGCTTAAAGTGATACTGTTCATCATAAGTTCCAAGATCCCAAGATTTCCAAGGTTCCAAGTTCAGAAGTAGCAATGTTCAAAAAGCAGTCTACCACTGAACATGCTCCAGACATCTGGTTCGTTGTTTCAAAATATTCAGCCACTTGCATCTAAATACCCGACCTAATTACAAAGAAGATATCGATTAAAGTTCAGTTTATATATCTCCGCAATAATTCTACCTTCTAAATCAAGTTCCGTCTCGATCAGCACCTGGTACCCAAAGAAAATCTAAAAAGCAACTTATCTCGCTCCAAATATCCGCAACTACAGCTTCCTTATTTTTCAGGCGGTCACTCTACCTTCTTCGGCTTGCTGAACACGTTCGTCCACATCGTGATGTACACGTACTATTTGCTGGCCGCGATGGGACCGAAACTGCAGCCTTACCTCTGGTGGAAGAAATACCTGACCGTCTTGCAGATGGTCCAATTCGTTGCCGTGATGATCCACGCGTTCCAGCTGCTGTTCATCGACTGCAACTACCCGAAGGCGTTCGTCTGGTGGATCGGGCTTCATGCGACCATGTTCTTCTTCCTTTTCAACGAGTTCTATCAACAGAGTTACTTGCAGAGAAGGAAACCTCGCAAGGATGGCCAGCAAAGTGTCCACGCGAACGGCGTGGCAAACGGAACGGTCAGCAACGGCAACAGCACCTCCTCGGGAAGAAGGGACGCGGCCGACTATTACGTGAAGGGCGATAGTTTGGCCGCTTCGGAGCTGAATCTTCGAAAATCGTACACGTCGACCGAGTGACCTGATCGCGTCTCTTCGTGGCCGTCATCGATTCGTCTCGTTTTTTTCCATCGATTCATCGAGTCGCAATCCGGGTTTCGCTCTTTCATCCTTCTGTTCTGTAACGGGTCCCTCGAAACCTGAATGGAGAAATGTACGCGAAAGTACAAAAGTTGTTCCGTATTGCGACCAATTTTAATGTGAAATGGTAAAGGGGAAAGAAAGAAAGGGAAGCATGTACGAGAGAGAGAGAGATGTGTATATACGTATGAGTGTGTCACAGTACAAGTAGATGGTCAGTGAACATAAATTATTGTCTGCGAATGTACACCTCTGCCGAAGTGTGAAAATCGGTGAATGTTAATATATAAATCCACATTCACTAGTGTACAGTCCGTTTAGTGTTTTGTCAACCTTCGGCTCGCTAACGACCAGTAACGGAAATACGCTTTCACTGCGGAATGCGAACATTCACCGACCATCCGCTTCCACTGTAAGAACATACAGTATGTACATTTTACGTACGTACGTATAGAATGTACCCAAGGTACACCCGGATGTCGCGACTCAATGTCACGGATTCCTGTTGTCGCGATTCAAGTAACCGTGACGTGTCTCTTCGGTTCGCTGTGCGTACACCTGCCTCTACCGATAAATCGGTTCCATCGAGTCGGCAAGCCGCTGTTACGAATATGGTACAATAACATACGTCTTTGCATTGCCATGATGAACGATAGACTGAATGCATCCGTTTCTCCTCCGATAACTTTGTATCGATATACTGGGAAGCATCCTGGGTTTTGCTAGGGAAAGTGGCGGTGTAAGGGATCGAGGAACTACCAATCGTTTTAATTCGTTCGCCGCAAACTGCGAACGAAGGTTCGCTGAGTGAACGAAATCAATTTTTTTAATTTAGGAATGTTGTTGAATTACGTACACATTCACTGTTTTCAATAGAAATAGATTTGAAGAGTGAATGGTACTTTGTATCATATTAAATAAATACCTTTTGTATTGCATTTATTATGTACATATGTGACATGTTTATTAATTAGAACTTCTTAAAGTAGTTCATCTATAAATGCAGATTTTATACAGCGTCGATGTTTGATCTGCCAAATCAATTAGCAAACAAGTGGTAACACTCCTTCCTTTACACTCTTCCTTATCCGAAGGAAGCCTATGTTGCAACCGAGTGTACAAAAACTTTGTTTTAAAGATGCAACAGTTACATTACCGACCGTGGTAATCTTGGCCCGTGTTACGATGCAATATTCGTAATCGAGTAATGATTGTTTTCTTACTGACCGTGGTGAAATTGCGAGGCCTTCCGCAACATTTCTGTCTACAAGTAAAAACTACTCTCACCTACTTGGGGTCCGAGTGAAATTGCCTGATCGATTCTCCTCCCCCTTCCTAACCTCCAACCATCGACACTATTAGATATTGTTAAAAATATTTTTCGATTTATATAATTTTCAAGTATGCTGCACAAGACGATAGCGAACCGCAAAATGTTTTTGCTGTCATCGCTCGTGCGCCGCTCAAAGATTATATAAAAACAGGGAATTATATAAGAGGAGCTAACGGTGTGTCTTGGAGTAGGATTACGTAACAATGCCACTGACCGTTATCTCGTTACGTAATTTTAAAAGATCTTTGATTCTCTGTTTTTTCTTTCGGTTAGGGTCCTCAGGTGTTAGAAAATTCATGGTTTATTACAGCTGTACTCGTGACCTTAATTGGAGCGAGTGAATAGAACTGCCCACATATTTTCATGTCACACAATCATGAGTTACATAAACGCCACAGAAACAGGATTTTAAATTTACCAGTCTACAATGAGAGTTTAATTTCGCAAAACTATTCGGTGATGAGAAAATAATTAGGTTATGCGAGAATCGAGTTGTATATCTTTAGGCAAATAGAATATTTCACTCTGGAAATTGAAGCTTAAAGTGGTTGTATCACAGATTTTATTATAAAAGCTCTTTGAAATTTAACTGTTAATGAATGTAAATAACATGTACGCTTCTCTTCAATGGCTTGTATCAAATGATAGAAAAAAGATAAATATTTTCACCTATTTTATATTAAAAATTGTGTACTTTACAATCCAATTCAGGTCCTAACTTTCCAACTTAGTTGTCGCGATACAACCACCTTAAGAACAGTTGCTTCTTTTTTCCCCAAAAAAGTATATATGTATCTTTTATCAATTTTTTACTGATAGCATTTGTTAAATATATTATTTTATAGAATTGTAGCGTTGCCAATTCGTTTTGAAAGTATGCTCCTCGCGAACTTTGGAAAGTGTCAATAAACAAATTCGATGGTTCTTTATCTGGCAGTGGTACACACAACTAACCGTAATTCAGCATTGTACATAAAATACGTTATCTGTCCGATATATTCGACTCAAAAGCCACTCAGTTAGGACAAAAGAGGGATACGTATTAACTAATCACTGACTGGCTTTTATGTCGATTATGTCGTAAGCATCGCGGAGTCACGCATAGCAAAGAAAACTCATATTGTCGAGGACATTAGAGTTTTCGGTTTCATGAAAGCGATAAGAAGCGTCATCCGTGCCTTGCGAGTAACAGATGTGCCTTTAACGTCTACGTAAGATGTTTTAGAATAGTGATAGACAGTTGTAAGAGGGCGCTGCGTGCACTCAAGGAGCATCGATGAAAGTTGACTTGCGTTATATTACCACGGATACTTTCACCTACACTAGTGTACATGAAAGTCCATGTAAAGGCAAATGGCAATATAACGAGAGTCTATTGTAATAGTCTGCTGTAGTCGTCTAGTTGCCAAAAGTGGGGAGATAAAATCAATATCGTTTTATTTCTCGTACACATTATCGCTGCCCGTGCGCTGTACGCAAATGCTCGCCGCTCTTCAGCGGGCATCTGTTTATCACTGTTCTTGACAGTGTACGCAACAACCGCCAACGAATTCGCATTGACGATAAACAAAGGGGTCGCGTTTCATTTTTGTAACACGGTCGGCAATGTCGAATCTGTGATTATCGACATATCGCGTCGTTAAACATGCGTTGTATCAGAGATGTCCAAGAAAGCTCTGTCCACTCTGCTCCAAATTGTACCCGTGTTCAATAGTTATAACACGTTATACGGAAACTCTTAGAGATCAAGTATCAGTAGTAGCACTCCATCTTATACCTTGTCTATGGTACATATTCTCCAGTGGTCACAAAATGACCACGGAATGAAACCAGAAGCTTCCTTGGACATCTTTACGTTATGATGCCACGTCCGAGTCTGCTGTTCAATCTTTCTTTTTTTCTTTTTGATGTAAAAATTATCTAGATTCTAGAATCTAGAATAGTCTTCCTTTTTTCATAAATAGAAGCATGTGGTTTTTAAGCCATTCGCATCCAAAGTAACAGGTATAGCCCTTAGAGACCTCTTTGAACATTGACATTGATTTGACCTGTGTTTGTAAACTCCAGTGAGACGTGTCAATAGTCCAGACTTGTAACCCATTCAAATTAGGCAAGTAGCTAGTCCGCAAGTGGCTTGGTAAGCTATGTTCATGCTCTTGAATACTGGCAACAGGCCAGATGAGCGGCTTGGCAAGTAACGTTCTTGTGTTTCTTGGGCGAAACCCAATTGCTTGATTAGTTACTTGCAAAATAGCCGAATTTCTGAATCCCTAAATTCCCAAATCATATGGTAGTCATATGGTACCCCCGTATGCTACGCACTTCATGCCACGCCCCGTACTTTATGCAGATCTATTATTATATTTTAAAACTGCGCAGTATTACTGGCTGATTATCAAACATTGGTGAGAGAAAAAGGAGGGGGAGGACTCGGACGTGACAATACATACGGAATAAACTAGAGCGTTTTTGTATTTAAACCGCGAATCTCTGTAGTGCTAAATTGTTAATCGAATTGTTTAACCTCGTCGCCGGCGTTGTTAAAATCGTTGTTGATTAGTTAGGGGATGTCTACGAGCGTTTATAATGTTTTAACAGACCGTTTCGATTGGGAACACGAGGATCAAAGTTTTTATCGATTTCGCACACGTTAAACCTAACAAAGCAAAATACTTCTATTTTTCTAAGCGGGTGGTTTGTAATATAGGTCGTTTTGTATATTCCATAAATGAAATGTTTTTATGACTGTGAAAAAAAAAAACGTTTGCGTGTGTCTCGCGTACGTGTTACGCGATATTTAATAACGGATACTTGCTCACCCTTTCGGCATGAAGGGATTTTATATACATAGCTGTTTGTATGCTAAAGAAACTGTTTGTACGTATTGCCGATAGAATTACAACAATTAACATAACGATTGTCGAAACGTTGTATTATAGTATCGTACAGGCAAACATACAGACGTCGTTCTATAAGTAATCGAATTCGAGGCTTCCCCAAAAATCGGTTATTTATCGAGCAGCTAATTAGACAAGCGCTGTCCTCGTACCTCAACCATTCCAAAGTTTCTAAACTCTCAAATTTCTAAAGCTGCAAATCTTTACTTTACCAAATGACAAATTCTTCAAATTTGAAAGTTTGTAAATTGGAAAATTAGCTATCTATAAGCAAGAAAATTACAAAGTTTTCCTTTCACCTCCACTCTTCCTAGGAAAACATATCAACTCATACAGTAGTATTGCAGTTTTATATATTTACGTAACCATCTCTGCCCATTACGAAATTTATAATTGAAAGTATTTCAAATTAACGGAGCAAAGAATGCACGCGGGAATAATGCGAGAATACGAGGAGCAATAGCTGTCGGCTACTTATCGAACGACGCACGTGATCGAATAGCATGACACAAAACGGTCCACTCGGTGTTTCGTTCGCTTTGCACGTTTCGTACATTTTGTACATAGGTAGGATAGTTTTGTACCGTCGTAAGAAACCTGCGAACAATCATGGTTACAGTCATTGCGTCATTGACGTTAGAGTAAAAAAAGAAAATACAAGAACAAAAAAAAATAAGAGGGATAATAAAGTCACGTAACGTGAGTACCGTGCGCATAATAATAATTTATACACAGATTTACATTTAGATATTACGAATAAAAATAGTTATTTAAAAAGAAAAGCAACAGCAACAACAACGAAAGAAAAACCTTTTTATTATGACTAATGAATCGTTCTGTAAATGCGGCTATGTACATAATAACGATTTACGAATGAACTAACAATAAGCAAAAGTCCTAGGCTCTCTTCAGAATCTTCCTAGAATATTCCTAGGTCCTGTTCTCTCATAACCTACCTATCTAGAGTCTGTCAAGAACTGTCCTAAAATTTCCTTAGAAATTCCCTAGAAATTTCTGACCCTACATTTTTTTGTAGCTAAAAAAAAACTATGTAGTATCTGTCTATACAATTTGTACAATGTACAGATGTGTCAGCGATGTGAACGAGTTTTATCGCAAGCGACTAAAACCTTTCAGTCAAACAGTTTGCAAACATTCCAAATGCCCTTTCCTCTTGTCATCTAAAAAACAAAGATATGTTGTAATATATTTTTTACATCTATGTTATGTTTGATGAAGGAAGTTACCGATACAAAATCAACCGGCACTTGTTCACTTGACAAATCCTTTGTGAGAAATAAAGGAAGTTATTTGTTATTCATTCACGGTTTTAGTCTTGAACTAAAATACAACCGGCTAAAAGAATTACAGATCTCGTGCAAATTACAATAAGGATACGAAGGGATTAAAACGGAAGTAAGTATGCATACATAATTGATCGCGGACAATGATGAATGCAGTATTCAATACATCCTGACCTATTTCATGAATCAGATTTTACAGAAAGAACTGTTCTCTGTATGCAAAACATCTTGGTTCTCGTCGTCAGAGGCTTATAATAGTTGCTATGCAATCGCTGAAGTAGTTAATATAATGTCATGGATCAGTGGTGCGTAAAGAAAATATGGTCAGAATTTAAAATTCTACTAAAAATAAACTGAACTCGATCATACCGTATTCGCATTGAAATCCATTGAATATCAACAGTAAAGTTATGTGATTTTTACATGTAAATAATTCAATCGAGACATTATAATATTGAATTGACTATATACAAAATAATTATCATATTTCTATACAGAAAAAAAATTAATATGTTTCGAAATTTCTTAGTATTTATAATGAGTCGCTCTGTAAGAATTAAATTTTAAAGTTGAATACCACTGCCATTATAAGTTTCACGAGAGATCATACTCGTCGGATGAATTTTGATTCGTTCTGCGCATGCTAACTCTGATTGGTTGGATCATGCAACTAAGGACAATGCGCATACGTATTGTGCATTTCTAATGCCAAGTATGGATATATAGTGGTCTTTCGTTTTGTATGCTTTCTGCATCATTATCTTTTCTCGATATTCGTATATTTTGATCACTGAGTATATGTGAAATAGGAGAGCAATGGTAATAAGTAGGAAGCAAGTGCCCACTGTAGAATACAATGTCTATAAGCTATTATAGTAGATAGTTGCTATATTGCCGATTGAGCAAATCTTTTTCACGGGCTTTTAATAGCACATTGGCAACAGAGAAATTTCGAATTTTTAAATATTTAGATTTTCAAGTTTACAAACTTTCAATATTCGAACTTATGAATTTTCAAGTTTCTACATTTTCAAATTTCCAAAATCTAGATTTCAAATTTTTAAATCTTAACATTTTCCAAAGCCCTTGAATGCGAGGGGTTGACACTATTAAGTTAGTGGACCTGACCCAGCCCAACAAAAATTTCAGTTACACCCACACAAAATCATACAATACCGAATAAAATTCCAGTTACTTAAAAGACTTTGTAGTATAAAAAAACCTGTAACAATGTGGTATACACGATGTTAAAATGCTGTCAGAAGCATGGAGAGAGGTCGCCTATGTTTCCTACTCACGAAATTATTAATTAACCGAGATACTGAAACGTGACCGACATCAGGTTGAGAACCACTGTAACGTCTTCTGCTGCGCGTCAATGCCCGAACTGTCAAGATCGTTCGACCACTGTCTGCCACCACCTACGATAAGCTTGTTTAGCAGCTGAGATATTTCTTTTTCATGAGATAAATTTGTGTATAACATCTTGTGACGCATCGTAAATAGCAGTGCCGCGCGATTAGTCAGCGCCAACCACTGACTAGCGCGGTACATACTTTCGGAGCTGACGGACTGACGTCGTACTCGAGTGCAAATGATTACATGTCAAATCCAGTGAGCGGTGTACTTTGAGTATATTTTTTTCTGCCGGTTAAAGCAAGAGTTCCTCCGAACGATTGCAAAATGTTGGCCCTTATTAATCGGATCTTGGATTGGTTTAAATCCCTCTTCTGGAAAGAAGAAATGGAACTCACTCTTGTCGGCTTGCAGTACAGTGGAAAAACCACCTTTGTAAACGTTATAGCGGTACGACAAATTCTTTTTGAAATATAATTTTCTGATCAATATTTTTATCCTCATTTTTGTTAATAAAATAAATTTTCAATGTAAATTCTATTTGTTCGTGAATTCTTCGATTTCAACAAAGCTCCAAAATGTTCATAGTTTTGGTTAGATTCTATACTTCGTTCGAAATAATTTTGTCATTGGTTCAAACTCGCATCCGCCCTTGCGTGAAAATTTAACTTGCACATCTTTGTGTATTAATTTTTTAATTGGAAACAATGATGATTCTTGTTACCATATTCCTTTTGTTACATAGATAAATGTAGATATTAAATAATTCCAATAAATATATAAACATCTGCTTTCCTTCAGTTCAGGGGTATCAAAAATTTAGCCCCTGAAGCACGAGTATTATCTCTTGGGGCTATGTCATATGAGATATTTAAGGCAATATCTTTGTTAAGCGAAACATACAAGGGCGCAAAAGAAAGCGTGTCATCATACGCTTTCCCATTTCACATTTTCTCTGTTCTACTGATACAATTTAGCAAAATTATGCATGAATACTTTTTTAGGATGTCTTTACAAATGTATTAACTAGTCTTTGATATTGTTCTTATAATTTGAACAGCTCCATCTGAATAATAATTGTATTATCTTGAAACATTTTTATAAAATATTTTTCTTCTTTTAGTCGGGACAGTTTAGTGAAGATATGATTCCTACTGTTGGATTTAACATGCGTAAAATTACAAAAGGTAATGTCACTATAAAGGTGTGGGATATTGGAGGCCAACCAAGGTTTAGATCCATGTGGGAAAGATATTGCAGAGGAGTGAATGCAATAGTATATATGGTAGATGCAGCTGATGCTGAAAAAATAGAAGCAAGTCGCAATGAGTTACACAATTTGTTAGATAAACCACAACTCTCTGGTATACCGGTACTGGTTCTCGGTAACAAAAGGGATTTACCTCATGCTTTGGATGAGAATGGACTTATAGAAAGAATGTATGTATAGTTGTTCCCAAATGAAACAATAAATATAAGTAAACTTTGTGTAAAATTGCAACTACATATAAACATAATACCTTTTTATTTCAGGAATTTATCAGCCATTCAAGACCGTGAGATCTGTTGCTATAGCATTTCATGCAAAGAAAAAGACAATATTGATATAACATTGCAGTGGCTTATAGCACATTCTAGAAGTGGTGTTCGCTAATACGCATAACAAGTTTTACATTCTCGTACATTCTTATCAAAAAGCCCAAGACATTGATAGCAGAATGGGGATCAAATGTGCAAGGGAGTGTTCAGCAATGATTTTATTCTGGATTGATTGATCGATTAATTAATTATTGTAGAAAATTTTTTTAAATCTAAGCTTTAGCTGTTCTCTGTTCAAATGTATAAAACTCATAGAAAATTTAACGAAAAACAAAAAAATTGTATTTAAGCCAAATATGCTCATGCAAATGATAATGAGACACGTACATCCTTCAAGCACCTTAGAAATAAGTAACAATTTTTTATATTGTGTTTTTAGATGATCTGTTAAGTAACAGTACCAGTTGTTCTATCTTAAAACCATCGAAGAAATGAAATAGCATTTAAAGATTAATGTAGAGACGATGGTAGCTAGTACGAATACAAACGCAAAATATCAATTATCATATAGAATACACGTTTTCAGAATTGTTTCATTAAGGTTAATACGTCACAGCATAGAGATTACAAATAATTGATTGCTATATGTACACAAATATGATGCTAAGTAAACTTGTATAATTAATGGAGAATTATTAACAACATTATACCAATTTATTATGATCCTTAAAATATGACAGTTGTGTTATGTATATACTTCATATATATGTATATATATGAAGAAGAATAAAATGATGTAATCCATTTTTTAAATGAAATGGCTTACCTTTAAACAAACTTTAGTATCATTAAAAAATATGAATAATAAAATATTTTATGTTTTCAAAAAAAACAATGTTTAGCAACAAATTTTAAATATAGAGATTTCATTGGTTTATACATATGACGTCATTAGGTAATCGATTATACGGTGTCGAGAATCGATTTGTTAGAGTGCGTTTAAACTAGCTGAGCAAATACAATCATTTGTCCAGATTAATTAGACGCAATTAAATCTGACTCGATTTAATTGGATACCATTGATAACACGATTCAATTTAGTACAATTCAATTCCATGCAATTTAATTTGGCGCGACTCAAATTAAAATGATTTAATTCGATGCATGCGCAGAACGTATAAAAACTCGTATGATGCATATGATTTCACGTTGAACGGAGTATAGCTTCAAGTGACGTTTTGCGTGTCAGAGAATAATAACAAAATAATTATATAAACAGTTAACATGCCGTCGGCAAACGACGATGACCCTTATGCACATGCAGCTAAGGGGCCCTTAAAGTTAAAAAGTGATCAAGGTGTAATTAAAAAGTACGTGAATATTAAATTTCATTTTCTTTGTAGGTTAAGTTTGATTTTGTTGAGATTGACAGATTTCTAATAACTTCTAAAGTTATTAATTATGCGCATAATAATCTTAATATACTAAGAATTTCAATTAATGTCGTTATGTTTTCTAAAAACTAGGAAGAAAAACAAAGAAGGCAAAAAGAAAAAGTTGGTGGAAGTAACAAAAGTTTTGGAAGAAGAAAAATCTAAGTCTGTGGAAGTTAAACGAACAAAAGCGGAAATAGCTTTTCAGAAGATGCAGGAAAAAATGGTAATTAGTTAGTTTTTAAATTTTTACTTTAAAATGAATCATTTTATTACATGCATTTGTATGTGATTGTTTGCAGCAAACTGAAAGAATAAAACAAAAGGCCTCAATGACACATAAACAACGGGTAGAAGAATTCAATAGACATCTGGATAGTTTAACAGAACACTTTGACATACCTAAAGTTAGCTGGACAAAATAAATGTTTTGCACATTTGTTTCATTCTATCCTTTATTTATACATATATAGTATAAACATAAACAGTATAATATTAAAGTTAAGTTTCAATCTTACATAGAATTGTACTTTATTACAAAAGTTTGTAAAAAAAGAATACTAAACTTCAGATCTTTATATATAATATAGTAATCTTAAAATATGTCTGATTATAATACTTCTATGCTTTTGACTTTTATGAACACTTAAAATCCATTTAAAAGCAAGGCACTTGTTTCTGACAAATACTACATTGTAACATATATAAATAATATATATTACTATGTAACAATATATAAATGTAAATGTAGGTTTCATATATAATGATTATTATAATAAATTGTATATACATGAAAATGTGTGGATTCGATTTTAATATTAGAAGTATAAAATGGCAATAGCTAAAATAAAAATACTAACACTCCTAAATGCAATAAAATGGACGGATTTGATATTAAGATTAGAAGTATAAAATGTCATTAGCTAAAATCGAAATATTAATCTCTCTAAATGTAACAATCTGCCATAATATAAAAAGACATTAATATACTATGCAACAATGGAACGTATAAATACTATGTTCATTATTAACAATAAGGATGGACATGAGAATACTTTTGTACCTCCACTTCCATAGTGAAATACTTGGATATAATTTTCAGTTTCTATCCAAGGATTAGTTCCATCATCAAAATGCATTGGACATCGATCACGTTCTCTTTCATACTCCTAAATTGTGAAACGTGAGTTAATAGTAATTTTAAAAGCAGTCTAACTATGTAACATTGGAATCAAAATCCTGCGTATATTACATCAAAATAAATATAGAAATATTTTATATTACCTGTAACTCTAATGCAACCGCTGCACCTTCGGTAAAATTGCTACTTGTAACATCTTGTTTAAGATCACAAAATGGTCCAATAGCTTCAGACATAAGGACTTTATTTAAGTCTGCTCTTTGATACACCCAACAACGATATTTGCTGAAAGGATCTAGCTCATCATACGTTATTAAATATGATTTTAGATTTTCTTTCCAGTATCCAATACATTTCATTTTGTAATCCGGTAAACCTGTGAATTGAAAATCAAACACGAAATACACAATTTTCTGCATGTTTCATCAGTACATTTAAACTTACTGTAAATGTCTACAGGTCTGCCTAAATGATCTACTGACAAACAATAAGTTTCATCAATAGCTATCTCCTTTTGATCAGTATCACATACAGAGAAATCTGAAATATTTTGCTTGCAATAGATATTCGGGCGAGGAGATAAAGTAACACCTCCTAGGATTCTAGTTTCAAATAAAACGTCTCCTTTTTGATGGAACATATATTTTCCAGCCACGGGACAACGAACTGGTACTGGATTCCGGGCTAAAAATACGATAAATATTTGTAAGAAAAGATCAAATAAATATATTTGTAAAATATATATTTCATACTGAACCTAAAAATAAATCGTATTTCCAAGCTTCCTTGTTAGGAAACTGTACCCAAGAGCAAACTGTATGAAAGTTATCTTTAATAACTGCAAGACCTCGTCGATATCTAATAATATTGTGATGTCGTCGTACAAAATCAAAACAAACATAATCCTTTTGACTGAAAATAAAAATTCAATTGTTTAATAAAACAATCAAACATATTTTCTATTAATCATATTAAATGTTCGTACCATCCATCAACGGTCAATCTCGCCATCATAACTCGTGTATCTCTCGTTTCGCGGCAAACGTAAATTGTACGCCTGTAACGACCTTCATCCGGAAATGAAGTTTCAATTATATGTGTTTCATTAATAAAAATGTCGGCCTCAATGTTAGCAGTGTTTATCCACTCTCCGCTCATATCCTCTGGTAATCTACATCCTGGCTCTACAACTTCTGCTTTAACAGGTGTTATTCTTAATCTTTCTGGACTTTTTTCAACAGTCTTTAATGTGTTACATTCGGCAGTAATAGATACTCCAATGTAAAGATCATCATCACGATTCTTTAAAAAACACCGATATTTTTCATCTTTTCGAGATTCTTTTGTATTTGCAACTGCAAAGAAGTGATTTTTGTCTACGAACCAGTCACCCAAACAATTATATTCCACCACTGAAATATGTAGAATACGATTGTAATTAGCAATATTGTATAAATTTTGAAGCAACGAATTTACGAAAATAATAGAAATATTACCTCCATTAAAAGTGTCTTTCATACCAGGACATTGCTTGTATGTTATATTAAATTTTTGATTAGTTATTAAAAATTGTGTTCCTGCAGTTTGACATGATCGAATTTGAGCATCAGGATGATTACATTCTCCTGTGAACCTAAATCGATTCTGTAATGACAAAAATTTAATTTCAATCAGTTCATCAGTATTTCATTTTATTATTATTAAATACTTGCCTGATATGCAAATTGCCAAACACCTTCAAGAGATGATCTACAATTTACAGGGACATAATTTTCTGAAAATAATGTTATTAACTGTTGATCAGGTCGTAATCCTTTGCATACATTCTCCACAGTTGGCTCAACGCCATTAGGCAAATTCACACAGCTTACTAAAATGCAATAAACAATTATAATATGCTATAAATCAATTAAATTTTTTAATAAAAGTTGTTACTGTAAATTTTTTTAAAATGATTACCTTCAAGTTTTTCTAGTACATTAACTGTTCTGACAATTAATTTAACGCAATGATAACATTTATCATTCTGAAATACAAATGTATAATTAACGTGGTATTCTTCTAACATGTTCACACAAAAGCCACGATCAGTCATTGTTGCAGCATTTATTTCTGTTAAAGTATTCTTGCCATTTTCCCATGAAAACCATGATCCTCTTATAGTTAGAGGAATTTGACACGAACTGGAATCTTGAAGAGATTGCGTGACTGAAAAATGTACATAACAATAGCGTTAACGATATAAAATTCCATATTGTATTAAAATAATGAAACCAATTTGTTAATTAGGTACAAATTCTTAAGATACAATGACTTATGATGAATCATGTACATGCAAGACAATACTAATATAAATTTTTCACCGTAACATATTCATAAATATATAACTATGTAATAAACATTAATTGTATTTATTCATTATAAATATTTATAGTGAACAGAATTTCCATTGTTTAATTAAATTTAAATTGTAATAATATGTACATGCACTAACAATTGTTTTGATTTTATGAATCTTACCTTGCCACATAAAACATGCAACAAATAAAAATGAGCGCAGTTTTTCTGTCATCTTGTCATTAAATTAAAAATAAGGAATGTAAATAAGTGGAAAGTTTATTTTGATTAGATCTAGTTATTTAGTTACAGAGCGTGTAAAAAAAGGTTTACAACGCCCTTTCCACTTATGAATCAAAACAATGCTGCCATCTAAAAATTTGTAACTTGATGTAAATACTGCCGTTCTGTGAGAGATCAGGTTTGACGAACAGTCGATTTTCGTTCACTTTGCGCACATTGATTCTCATTGGTTCGTAAAAAGAATAATGCACGTATGCATACGTGTATACCTAGTGATATTTTATTTTGTATGCTTTTTACGTCTTAGATCAACTGCGTTTTTGTACTACTCGTATATTTTGTCTACCATATATATGATTTATAAAATAGAAAAAAGACTCCATGAACTTAGTTGAGTTGCGCGAAATCATTCTTATTTTTGGACAAATCGACTGTGTAACTTTTTGAACGTATTATATGAATGCACATTAACCTTTTTATTGGACCTCCCAATAATAAACATTGAGTGCATATCAGTTATAATAAAATAGTCGAGAATTTCATTATATAAATGGATCTAAATGATTTAGGAAAACTAAACTATGATAACGGAGGATTATTTTTAATAATCAAACACTTTATTAAAACTTCGAGTGTGATTGAAGTTTCACATTTTTTGTATTCTACAATGTTAAGTATTTAATAAAGCATATTTAATGCAAATTGCAAATTGTTGGAAAAGTGATGTTTTTCCTTACAGTTAATGACTTTGAATGGAACCTTTCATTCAATTTAACTATGCACCATATATCTAAATAAATGTATAAAAATTGTTCATTTCATAACTTCATAATTGTTTTATTTACAATTACATTTTATGAATGAAGTGATTATATAATTGGAAGTTAGTTATTGTTTGCTATAGTGAAACTTTACAATTTATAAAGTATTATTGTACATATCATCGAGAATAATGGCAAATACAGAATCAATTGAAAATATGCCAGCTGTGGAACCAGTAAGATTGAGTCATATTAAACCATCTTTTAGTACTCAAGAATCATCTATTGCATCACGTCAAGATTTGTGGCACAAATTTATTCTTTTTGGTGTAGGACAATACAAAGCAAAAGAAGTATTACGAGTTGTCATCATGGCCTGTGAACCTGAAATTATACTACCTGTTATGTACAAAGAAGAAGAACCGAACAAGAGTACTTTTTTAGCAAAGTGTAACTCCAATGCTATTGAAAATCTTGTGAAGCAAAGCTTATGTATAGCTTTGCCAAATGGACAAGAGTTACGGATAGATATTGTATTAGGATACTTAACTTCTCAAGATCTACAGTTAAATCCAAATAGAACAATAACACAAGCATTATATTATAGATACGAGCCAACAAAAAAGGTATTGAATCTTGATGATTTTGAAAATGAGAAATCATTGGGATCTATATTTTGTCCCATATCTCTGCCTAAAATACTGCACTTTGTTCTACGGTGTACCAAAATGGGAATTTTAAGTAATAATCGTGATTCGAAATTACCTGTTCGAGAACTGAGTTTAAGATACAATAAAATCACAGCCATTCTTCTTTTTGAGAAATTTTTTAATTATCACTTAACAAAATTAGATTTACGACACAATCAAATTGCAGATGTGGAATATTTGCGATATTTTAGTGAATTTAAAATAAGTGAACTCTGGCTGGATGGAAATCCACTGTGTACAAAGTACAACAAGTGTCAAGATTATGTACAAGCAGTAAAAAATGTTTTTCCTCATTTGCAAAAATTAGATGGAATTGTAATAGGCATGGAACAAAAGTTTGTTCCCAATATTCAGAGCAATTTTCTAAGAGATGGTACAAAAACTTGTCTCATCAAACAATTTGTGAAGCATTATTTCACTTTATTTGATCAAGATGATAGACAAGTAATGAATGGCTTATATGATAGAGATGCTCTGTACTCTATGACACTAGGACCAGTATCAAATTATGTTCATAAACAGTTAACTAAAACATTTGTTACAAATAGAAATCTACTGAAATTTGTTGATTATGCCAAATGTCAAGACTTTTTATTGCGTGGTCCAGAGAAAATTATATCTGCATTCAGAAGTCAACCACCCACTATACATCACTTTAAGTCATTTCAAGTAGATTTATTACATGAAGGAGAAATTCATCTTGCAATTGCTGTGCAAGGATATTTTTCATTCAGAGAAGTTTCGTGTCCACCAATGTTTTTCAACAGAACTTTTATTATTATGAAAAAAGAAGACAATGAATATTGTATTACTAATGATCAGTGTTATCTTGATGGAACACCTGCTAATAATAATTCATCAAGTGCACACAACACCGAAATAAAATTTGAAGCAAAAAGTGCACCAAAATTTATTCCGACTGTCTTTAGTGTTTCTGAAAAAGATCAACTACTTACATTTTTACACGAATTAACTACAATGAACATGAAATATTGTCACCAATATCTGGAAGATGCTAATTGGGATATAAGGACTGCTATTACAACATTCATGAGCATGTATACAGTTAACAACGTTCCACCAGCAGCTTTTTTATGACTTAGATGTACTTTAGTCTATTATATATACTTGTAATACTATTTATAAAACAATAAGAACATTTTGTAACCTTGGGTACAAATTTATGCAAATAATATTAAATTACTGTGATTCTGTTGACACAAATATTGTTTGTAATTTATTGTTACAACATCAGTTCATTTCAAATACTGATGACCTATTACCTCAAGAAAATAAAGTAAGCGTTATAATGAGATTTTTATAAAAAAATTGTTTATTTTATTTTATACAAAATAAAAAATTACAATTTTTTATATTACTAACAACCCTGTTGTGTATTCAACAGAGCAATGGTCTTATTTATATACGGTATAGTATTCACATTTGAATTTACTCCTAATTCAAATACCTTCTGCATCAATGGTAGAGCATGTTCTGAAATAAATTAAATGTATTTACTAGTATCAATAAATTTATCATTAAATACGATAATAAAATAAAATTTTACCTTGCATACATAATACGATTTCTGGCAATTTCTCTAAAGCTGACATTAGGATATCGGCTCTAGAGCTGTCCAAACACCTTTGAAATGCAGACAGTATATTTGTATTTGATTCGGGACGATGTTTCAATGCTCTTGCTAATAACGTATGAGCAAGAGATCTTATATTACTTTGCGGCGATACAAGTAACTCCGCTATATTGTCTGTTACAGATTCCAAAACTGAAGGCTTACGGGACGATAAATGTTCAATTTCTTGAAGAGCACAAAATACATCTGAAACAGATACACGTTTATTAGATTATAATATTTTTAATGAACTTAAAACGTTTCTTAGAAGTATACCTTCGCCTTGCAATTTAGATAGTGTACTTAATAACGACGTCCAATGTTGCGGAATAGTAGGTTCCAAAGGAGGAGGAGTAGGAGGAATAGTAATTAAAACCTCTTCTACATCTTCTCCTTCTCTTAGCACTGGAATGCCCGACACAAGTGTTCTAAGTGAAACTAAATTTGGATAGTGTACCTGTAATTCACTACATGTAAGTGTAAGCTAATATCTGAAGTTTATTAAAAGAGAACAAAGCTGTCACTTACTGCAGAACCTGAGCGTGTTTCTGCAAATATTTCAGTGCTCTTTGTGGATCATAAGAAATATATCCCTGCAGTAGTGTAATGAATCGATTTAATAATGGTATCAGATCTTTTACTGGCCCATAATTCTAAAAATAAAAAAAAGTTTTGAGTTTTATAAAACTTAATAACATAGTAAACATTTTATAACATACTTGAAAGCACTGAAAGTAATTCTCTAATGTGTCCTCCAAAGCAGTTCGATGTTCTTCATTAAATAAATGTGGCTGTAACAGTTCTAACAGTCCCATTATTTGTACAAAGAGGTTTAAATGGTGGCCTGATCTGAACTGACTAAAATCCAGATAGCATCTTCCCATTAATGATGACGCTAACATGGGAAGCTGTCTTAGTACTAAAATAGGGTGAACAGCAGCCATTTTTCTGGCACATAACTCAAAATCTTGGGATTTCGAATTCCAGGACTTCTGCCTTGGTGTTGCAGCTAAAGCTGTCAGTAGTGAATGACTCATACAATCTAACACAGAGCCAGTCCATTCTGTGATCTTTGCTTCTCCAACAAACTTCTTAATTTGGAAAGTATCCAAGTAACATATCACTTTTGGTATCTTCATGTACATATGTAATAAAAATTGATGTGCCATATCGGAATCTACGCTAAAAATTAAACACACAATTTTATATACAAAAACATTTATCAAAGAAAAAAATAACATTGAAATATACATACTCCGAATCATTCATCATACGTTCAGCTAAATATTTTACAACGCTGGATACCATGTGATCATTCGTGGAAACACAGTGTAACAATAAATCGAGACGAGAATCCATTCGTGCAAGTGCAGTATTTCTATTCTGACAGTTGCATATAATAACAGCTTCTGCAACTAAATATGCTACCAGTGTCAACAACTGTTTCTCATGTAAAAGTAAAATATTTTCTGGAACATAATGTTTTGGTGTAAACTTGTCTCTACCCTGCCAAAGTTTTGGATTACAAGTTAGCGCCCATAAAAAATCTAACACGGCTGTTGGATCGTACCTGTGAAGAAGAATGTGTTACTTAAAAGAGTGCTGTGCAACATTACTAAAATCTGAATTATTTTTCTCTTACCCATCATCACATTTATCTAATAAATGACCAATACATTTGTACAAAGTTGCCCAACTCGCTCTGTGTGTTAATAACGTCAACAAATAAGGCCTAAACGAGTGTGAACTAACAATGTTGTTATCAACTTTCAATTGTATCTTTGTTTTTCCAAACAGAAGTTTCATTTGTAGCGTAGGACATATACCAATTAATTCTGGTTCCACAGATGCCAACCAATCTATCAATAAACCTGTTCGTGGTTTTAAAATACCTTCGTTGCTGTCGTTCACTAACAATCTTGCCATTGCTTCAACAAGGACATCAGTTTTCTGTTGCTTTAAACAAATATCCAATAATTTACGTCCAACAGCTTCTAAATTTACAGGATCCGTGCTTTCCAAAATAGAGCCAGGATCTCGATTTTGCATCAGCATTGTTAGCTCCATGCTTTTTGGCGTTTTGGTTAATTGAACATTTGCAAAGTCCCTTAAAATAGATAAAACCGGTGCTTTAACGTCCCCTATCAGTTGTATCAAATTCAAACACATGTTCCGTGTCAATTCGACCACTTGTTTCGAAGTGGATGATTTTTTTAAAGGCAACAATATTATCCTCATTAAGGTACAGGAATATTGTGGCATGTGAACAAGAGAAGCTAAGAACTGTTTAACTTGCATCGAACTCAGTACACTACATATGTGCTGTATCGCTAAGACAACAGCTCCGCTTTCCTTGGCAGATTTTTGCAAGTCTTTCGCTAATGTTTTGTGCAATCGACGATACGCGTCTACCTTCTGATTCATCGGTATATTCTCAATAAATAATCTATTGATCAAGTGCGGGACATCTGTTTTAACGGAGCACTGTATGACGGACTGCTTCTGAACCATAGCACTGGGAGGTAATGGTTCTTGCAGCTGTCCAATCGTTACCGCGTTCTCGTCAGGTAACTGTGGCTCTAATAATTGCAAAACTTGTACAAAAACTAATCCACCCGTAGCTCCTCTCCTATGCTGAACTTCAACTAATTGTGCCATGTAAGTCTTATCAAGCACCGCTTCGCCAACTGAGCTTGGGTCAATTTGCACTCCAGCATCTAAAGTATGAAGCAATTTAGTCATCGAAGGTACAGGAATACCGAAACTTTGAATAAAAAGAACCAACTGTTGTGGTTCCAAGTCCTTGAGAGCTGCATCTATTAAACGTGGCACATTGCTTCTGATCATTCTCAATTTCAACCAGTCTGGTATGAGCAAAGCTTCTTCGCTGGTATCGACAAGAAAAGCTTTGGGTGGTTCTGTATTTAACGGAAACCACGTTTCCAGTAGAACTTCAAACAGCTCGTCGTCATCAGAATTGTAAGTCAAAAGAATTATCATAGCGTGAACAACTAGAATATGCATAGTGCATTCTTCTCCTGTGCTCCATTGCACTAATATTTGATCTTGACTTTCAGACCACGTGTACTCCTCTGCTCTTGGGGACCGAGCTTTCTCCAAATAGTTGCAAATGATTACCATGAAGGCATGCAGAGTTTGCTTAGCTTGAGGATTGTCAATTTCAGGCTGGGGCAAAATGGCTGCTATTATTGTACTCCGTTCGACCACCAATTGAGATATTTCGTTGGCTAAATCAGTTAGGTCGGGAAGATCGTCGTCTGTAGTATGCGCTGCGAGGTAGGATATGTAAGCGTGCACGAGATCGGGATTATTTTCAACTTGACAGGCTCCACGAAGCGCGGTAGAAACTAAAGAACGCACCGATAAAAAGTGAGGTATCGATGGCAATTTGCGAAGAAGCCAAACTTCCCTGGAACGAATTTGCATTAATTGGTTTCAAATATCACTGAACAGTATAACTATTTATCAAATTACCTTTCATTTTCTCCGTCAATATCCATAGGCTCTTCTTCGGTAGGTATAGATCCAAGAACCATTTTTAGGCCTGTAATCGCTTGAAGACGACTACCAGTTTGTTGGCTACTCAATCTTCTTAAGAAATATTCTAAAACTTCGTAAGCATGTTGCCGATCTTGTTCCGGATCGGTTAACAACATTTGAAGATGAGCCAATAACTGTTGTTGTCTTGGTTGTTTTTCCACAGTTTGAGCGCTGGTAGATAACAAGAATTCGCAGAGGCATTGTACAGGTAATTGACTGAGAGATCCTTCGCTGTTTTGCACGAGATCCGCTAACCAAGGCATGCTCTGTGAGGAGCTTTGTTGTTGCCTTTGTATTATGTCTAACAAGAAATCTGGTTTGCGAGATCTGCAAAGTAAGTGTCCCAGCCTGTGGGACACGTTCAAAGATTGTATTTGTTCCAATACCGCTGGAGGTGGCTTCCTGGCAATACCAGTTGGTTCCATAGTCATTAGTTGTGATAATAGTAAACTATTTTGTTCGGATATTTGTATCCTCGTTGATGCAGCGGCTAAATGTGATTCATATTCCAGTATCTCCTGCTTTTCAATAGCTTCGACTTGCAATTCCTTTGAACGTTCTTGTTCTATGATTTCGGGTAATGCCATTGTTGGTGGAGGATATGAGAAGTGACTGTAAAGCATTTTTGCATTAATATACATCTTTACAAATGACTTTTAAAAATAATGTAAAACGTACTTTGTGATACACATTTCCATAAGTGTTCGTAGAATGGGATATTGTTTCCATGCAACAGCACCAATAGTAGATGGATTGTGGGCAGCTAATATTAATAGCATTATCCATCCTTTCCAATACAAATTAGATATTGCTAAAGTCGGTGGTACATAACTACACAGGAAAAAGTAAATCATCAATAACGTAAAAATACTAAAGTCGACTTTAGAATATTACAAATAATTTTAAATACTTTGATGGTATGTTTATAGTTACTGGAGGTTGATAAATACAAAGATTGAAAATCAGTTCAATTATATTTAATTTATCTGCCTGTAAGGTTGGAAAACTTTCTGTTGAATTAGCTGCTGCTCGTCGTATTAATTGATCTACCAAATCTAAGGTTTCTGAATGAGTAATACCATTTTCCTAAAATATTATAGTAATTAATGTCAGAATTAAAACAGTGAATTTAGTATAGTGATTGTATACCTTAGAAAATCCAAGTAGTAACAGTCTTAATAGTGTATTCTGTAACAGTGGGACATCAGAAATTAGACGCAGATAAAATACTCTGTCAGATTCAGGAGGCCAGTTATCCAATTTATAGTACTGTTCTGGAGATTCGAGCAATAAAATTTTGTGTAAAGCGTGAAGCAGTTCATTTTTTCCAATAGAATACATCTGTGGTGCTGAATTTTGCAACCACAATACAGCTTCAAATTGTATTGTTGCCACCATGTTCTGAAATTGATGTAACAGAGCTATGTCTTTCTTGTCGCCTCTTTGTGCTAGAGCTGCGGCTTCTTTAACTTGTGGACTAATAGCTAGTAACATACATAAACATAACAAATCAGCGATCGAAATGAAAACACGCTCTTTAAATTCAAAGTTAAGCAATTGTTGTGCTATATCTTGTCTTTCAGCCATTAATGTACGTGCAAAGGTAAGTAAATTAATGTCGTGTCGACAAACGCGCACAATTTCTCTGAGCAAAGCACGCAAAGGTCTCAAATAATCTTCGCGATTCATCAGCAAATCTTGAAATATTTCTGCGAGTAATTTAGCCGCTTGTTCGGGTAACGTTTGAAACATTACACCCAGCATTGGCATGTTATTTGGGTTTCGTGCGTTTGATAATTCATTATAAATCGTATGCTTCAAGATGGTAGATAAATTCTCTGGGTGTAAACCGATTAATTCTTTCACACCATTTAGATATAAATTAATTACAGCTTTGGTCTTTAATCTCATTTTGACTAATTGACTAATAACTTCAACGTCCCTTTGTGTATGAGATGTACAATTATAACAAATGTAACTCAGCAGTTCTTGAGCAGGTCTCATCAGTTTTGGATTATGTAACCACATCTCCAATCTTGGCACGGCAATATTTCTGATTTCTACAAAACCGCAAGCAGAGGAAAGTAATTTTAAAAAGTTCTTAGTAATTGACTCTGGTTGCCGCCTATTCAACTGCTCTTTCACAGCTTCAAGAACAATTAATTCTATGTTTTCTATACAATGACCATATCTAGGAGTCACAGGAAATTCTATTTTTTCTTTTTCTCCGGAAAACTGTACAGACGAAGATCCAGTATCCTCGTCGTCAATCGTTGATGGACTGTGACAATCACGTGGTGTTAAAACAGATAGTTCTGGTTGTAAAATGCTTTTTGGTGGATGCTGTGTATTAAATCCAGTTAAAATATTGTCAACAAAACCTTTGCATTCTTCGTGATCAACCCATACTCTTTCACCTAAAGCATCCTCAATGTACAGCTATAAAATAAGAGAAATAAATAAAAATCAATTTTGAAGTTATAGAATAAGCATAACTGAAGAACAACCTTTACAAAAATTTCTGGCCAATTTCTTTTATCACAAAATCCTTTCATTAACAAATTAGCTGCGAGTACAGGGACCAATGGGTTTCCTTTAGCTTTATAATTATGTGCTTGATCTCGCTTTAATAATGATGACAGCGCATGTAATATACAGTCATTTGAAAAAATAGAGGGACGAATTTTTGCTAAATACAATAATCCCATATAAACCAATGTATCAGGTTTCCATTTTTGATTCTTAAGAGTTTTAATGGCACCACAAATAATGCCAATGACTTTATCGCCTTCATCGTTATCATTAGCTTCCAGAACCATTGGAACAAAGTCTGCTGGATCACTATCTATGGCTACTAATTCCCAAGCTTCTGCACTTGAGAATGGTGGTCGTTGATGAGTAACATGTGTTGCAAGTTTAGATTTCTTTTGTGGAATATACTGAAAGCTTTGAAGCGATCCCGATGGTGCTTCCTTTTTCCGATCATTACCTACATAAATTTTTTATAAAGAAAGTTATACAAAATAATTTTAATAAAAGATTTTGTTCAAATTTCTTCAAATTTTATAGAATCTTGTGCGTAACTTTTCCATAGACCTAATACTGAAATAAGAATAACTTATTTACCAGAAGTCGAAGAACTACTACTTGGCTTAGAATGAATAACCCCTGGTCTTTTAACATCAGAACTCTCACTACGCGAACTTTTGGATCCAAGTGCAAATAAATCAGAGGGATGCTGAGCAATTTTACTTTTTGCACCTCTGCCAATTCCTGCCTTGCTGCGATCCATTATAATACTTGTGCTTTCTAGATGTACAATAAACAAATTTAATAACTACAGTATTCCCATTCTGTGGCGCAAAATACAAATATAAAATAGTAACTTAAATGTTAGAATTATATATTTTGTTCAGTATTTCAGAATGTCATTAAATATTAAATTAGAAAATGTTTTTAATTTGGAGCTAACCTATTCAACATTTATAACGTAGATTTCCAAAAAACGTTTTCTTGGAAAGTATATCTAATATTGTATATGATTAACAACATTAGATCTATAAATTAATCTTTTATAATAAAAAATGTACATATAACAGTATTTCTCGATGTCAACAAATTTATGCTTTACAAACAGAAAGTTATCGTAGCAGACACCGCTATCGATTCTGCTATTTCAAGATTCGATAGAATCGAATGATCACACAAAACGATTATTAATTTGAATACCTCAAGAGCGGTAGATAAAAATAGTTATTGGCATTACAAACTACTTTATTCTTCTCAATAGTTTTTATTTATTAATTTCAGTCATTAAAATTATACTTACATATTATGTTTTACATATTTAAACAATTTTTATTAATTTTTGTATTACTGTTTCAATAGGAAAGTCTGCACATGTCTGTTCTGATTGGTTCAACATGCTCTAACTTATAGAATCGCATATGCGCATTTATGATGTGATACCGAATGTATATAACCAGCGATATAATGTTTATTTGAACGGGGTATAAATCTATTGTTGAACTACTAATGAAGTATAAAATAGACCTATCATCCTATAGGATGATTCATATTTCATGTACTGAAATACCGATCGTACAAAATATCAAAATGTTCGTTGCGCCTCCTACGATATAGAGCGGTGGATTTAGGAATGACAATATATGCTCATGTCATCAACGCGCAATGAATAAAATAATGAATTAATATTACGCTTATCAATCTGTAAACAATGTGTGCATTAAGAACAATATGAGTGGTGTTAAAAAAAAAGTCAATCATTTGGCAGTATTTAAGCAACGAACAAAAACTGACGACAATGCTGAACTGTCTGAGGTTATTATTATATCCGCAAGAAAAACTGGAAATTTAAATCTCTCATCGAGAGGCTTGTCTACGGGTACACACGATAAACATGAAACTTTATTCAATGTTATTTACACGAATTTTGAACTCATTTGAATGCTTGATACCTCGATGTTGCACTTATCCATAAATTGATTTGCATGCTGTTCGTATTTGTATTTCATCGTCGTTTTCATGATTTTTTTATTTACATTATTTTAGCATTTATAATCAGAATATAAAGTGTTTAACAATTACGAAGAAAGAAATCGTTTATTTATAAATCATAATTCGGATCTCAAATAATTATATATTTTAGGGACAACATTATAATAAATTTATGGAAATTAAATATATAAAAAGTACATATAAAAAAGGTGCACCCTTGGCTTCAAGCTTTCCAATAGCATTGCATTACTTACAATTAAATTATTATTAAAAAATGGAAAGACAATTATATTATTACCAGTACTTTTACACGCTTTTATTAAATGTAGCATGTCATTTTATCCATTAAATAGGTACTACACACAACATGTTTTATAGTCATAAAATTATTTTTTTTATTTTCATCCATAGATTGCTTTGCATGTTAGACTATGTATAATGCAATAGAGCAAGCCATACTCATGATATCATGCAAGATTCTTAGATATGGGATGTAAGGTAAGTTATAATTTGATATGTTAGTATCCAAAAGTAAATAATTTAAAAAATTTTATGATATACTAAAATTAATTATATTTATTGTAGTACCTAATAAAGTATGGAGTATAAATGAATTGACCGATGAAGAGGTAAAGGAGTTACATTATGAACTTGATTATGTACATGAAAATGAACGATGGTGGGAGCAAGAATTACTCAAGACATTGGACTTGAGCTTTAACAGCTTAGTTGTAATTGATTCTAAAATAGAATGTTTATCAGAGTTGACCACATTGCTTGTAAATATTAAAATGACTATGAAGCATTAAATAATAGACTCTATCTAATAAAATGATATAACTTTTCAGTTACATGACAACTTGTTAGAAAATCTACCTCCTGAAATTGGTAATTTAAAGAAATTGGAAGTGTTAAATTTATCAAATAACAAGCTGAAACAATTACCACATCAATTTTACCAACTGAATGAATTACGTGAATTATGCTTGAAAAATAATAAGTTAAATAAACTGAGTCCAGCAATTGGAGACTTAATTATGTTGACTCATTTGGTAAATTGTAACAAATTTTTTATATGACAACATATTTCTATATATACATATTAATTATATTTTTTTTGTTTAGGATCTATCCAACAACAATTTATCTGAATTACCAATAGGTATGGGATATTTAGTGAGATTGAAATCTTTGGATTTAAGTCATAATCTGTTAACAGAATTACCACCAGATTTAACAAATATAAGAGGTATGATTCAGTGTAACAGAAATCATAAAATAGATGTCAGTAAAAAAAGAAAATAGTTTCACACTGTTTCTTCCTGCATAATATGAATATTTAATAAAAAATCTATGTCTTCTTTCAATGATAGCGTTACAAAAGTTAGATGCAAGTTGTAATCAGTTGGAAGTGTTGCCACCTATGGGTGATTTGAGGAAGGTAGAAACAGTGATGTTGCAAACAAACAAATTAACAACATTCCCTGATATGTCTGGTTGTACATTATTAAGAATACTTCACTTGGCTGATAATAATATTACTGTACGTATTATTGTATGTTGATCTCAGCACATATAGTGATTGTTGTGTAAAATCAGTATGCAACTTATATCATGCAAATGTATTTTAATGTAACTGTGATAATGTACACTTCATTATTACAAGCATAATATTTTGAATAAATACATAACGTGTAGTAATAATAATTGTATTTATAACTATCCAAAATATAATTTTCTAGGAAATTGATATGTCTTGTTTGGAAGGTGTGGGACAGTTAAAAGTTTTGACATTAGGCAATAACAAAATTGAAACAATACCAGAGGATATAATAAAAATGGTATATTTAGAAATTTTTGATCTGTCACACAATAAATTAACTATGTATGTAGTTTGAATTATATTAACATTGCATTTTATTTTATCTTATTATAATCATATATACATTATCATTATTTTATTTCAATGTTTTCTTCGTAGGATACCGAGTTATGTTGGTATAATGCCCAATTTGAAACAATTTGTAATTAATGGAAATGATGTACAGAATATAAGAGCTGATATAATAAGGTGTGGTACACCTAGAATTCTAAAACACATACGACAAAGTATCGAAAGTACAAACTTAAATACAAAAGAATGTGTGATATCAGATGCCAATCAAAGTATTTATCCAGATAAGTATGTACACATCTTCAGATTTTGATCTGAATGCTTTCAGAGTGGAATTGAGAGTATTAACAACAGAGTATTAACAACAAAATTATTTAATCATTTAGATATACAATGCAAAGTACAAAATTGCTTAGTTTGGCTGGACTAAACCTCACTGAATTGCCGCAAGAAGTGTTGGAGAATGCATGTAAAGCTGATGTAGGCACAGTGGATTTAAGTAGAAATAAACTCTCAGAGTTACCTGATCAGATGTGTGTTATTGCTAAAGTTGCTGATTTAAAATTGACATCTAATGAATTAACACATCTACCAGAATGGATTGGTGAAAAATATAAACATTTGCAAGCTTTGGATTTAAGTAGAAATTTTCTAGAATCGCTACCTTCCACGCTTAGCTTACTGAAATACTTGCGAGAACTTAATATTTCATTTAACAGGTACTATGTACATACTATATATAAACAACTTAACAAATACAATTAATGTTTACTCGTACGTATTTTTAGAAGTTTTTAAAGTATACAAATGTTTTTAACACAGGTATAAAAAAATACCGGAATCTGTTTACGATATTGACTCTTTGGAAATATTAATTGCAAATGACAACTCAATCACGGATATTGATGTACCATCTTTACAAAAATTACAAAAATTAGCAATATTAAATCTTGGAAACAATAACATTGGATATGTACCACCGGAGTTGGGTAACTTGAAGAATATAAGGTAAATAAATTTTAATACTGAGAATTCGAAAATAAAATCATGCATAATCAAATTCTTTCAGGAGTTTATTCTTATCTGGCAATTTATTTAAGCAACCACGGCAAGCAATTTTAGCAAAGTCTACAGAAGAAATTCTTGCATATCTTAGAGACAGAATACCTCGTTCAAATTGAAGAATTGTTGAAGTGCATTTAAATGTTTAGTCCACTTGGATAAATGTTGTACAAGAAGTAACAAAATATTTAAGATGCCAACTAAGAATTGTTATTTAAAAATCACATTTTATAAATAGATTATTTAATGAACCATAAATGAATATCTTATAAATTATTTTTCCTTGATACATTCATATAAAGAAAACAGATATTTAAGATGTTTCTAAAATTTCTTTATTTTGAAATTAATTAAAATATTTTGACATGTGTAACATACATTTAAATAAATATGTGCCATTAAATGAATCCTAAACAAATTTGATATGTGCGATTCAGTAAATCGGATCATATAAATATTTTCAATTTCGAACATTAACATCACAAAATTGTTAAAAAAAGAATAAAACAATTAGTATTGATAATCTTAAACATCACACAAACAGGCTTTCCACAAAACGAGTACATTGATTATCTATCCTATATTACCCATATGTAACATTGTCATTTATAATTAACAACAGATACACATAGTTATTTTATCTTAAAAATTTTGTTCAATTTTATATTCATATAAAAATCTGTAACACGATAATGTGTACGGTTTCTCGTCAGCAACTTAATAAAGGTCACTTGTTATAATTTTATCAGTGAAAATAAATCTACATAATGATTCTGATGTGTTCCTCTAATTAAATAATTTCATAAGTAGAATGATATATATTTATGTACGTGTATGTATGCTTCATAAACTACTTGCTTCTTTTGTTGCTTACAATATACCGTGCATATTTTGTATGTGATAACAGAAGGAATGTAACTAGTGTCATACTGCATTGAAGGGTAATAATTTATATATTGTGATAATATTTTTGATATTAATACTGTGAATCTAATTGTTCATTCGGACGAACAACAAAACTGGTTTGAATATAACTATTAACGCAATCAACATAGGCCTTACAAACTGGAATTGCTTCTTCAACATCAAAACAATTGTTTGTTTCCTTTTTATTTAACAGAAATGCGTACAACAATTTCACTTGATTCCTTCTAATGTTAATGACTTTAGCATACATTGTATAATTTATTTTTATATATCTTTATAAATATAATTATGATTAACGTTTAATGAGTTTTCTAAATCTTTGTTATCTAGAGCTTCTCATGTATAATCAGCTTTAATGTTGCAACAATACTTCTATCAAAATCATGAGAATTATTATATCCACGTCGAGCTTCAATTGATTATTGAACTATTATATTCAATGGCCTCCCCGATACGATAAGATTTAAACATTAAAATTTTATTGGCATTAAAGTATAGGCAAATACTTTAAAATCAATATTTTTACAACTGACTATGCCACTGAACTGTTCACTTATAGAAATCTAGATAATTTCGTCTAATAATATGCATAAATCAATTAACTTTTATAATCGCGTTATCAGTCTGATCAACTTTAAATTATAGGTTTAACTGGATTAAATATTATAAATTTATATTTCATGCTCAAATTTATCATATATGCAACTGCAATGAATCTGTTAACAACGAATTTACGATTTGAGAATAGAATAAAAAGCTTATATTCCCTATGTGAAAAATTCATAATGGACTGTGAAGAATATTATTTATAAATCTGGATGCGAAAATATATAATATATATTCGCATGTGTATTATGCTCAATATTCTTCACTTCATTAAATAATAACTACACACGTGTAAATACAATATACACCTATCTACAATAACATTCTATTCAATTATATAGTGTCGCTATGCTCCTTGTAATTCTTGTACCTTTTTACATGAAGGTGTGTCAATATTTTTAGCTTTGAAAAATAAATCTTGGTCTCCAAAATTTCTTGCTTTCCACATCATTGTATCCCCTAAAGATTAAAAAAATTTATATCTGTAATGCACTGTTATTTTTAAAGACAATAAGTAATGTAATGTGAGAATTAAATAATGAAATATGATAGAATCAATTGAGCTAGATACTTACTATAACTCTTCTCTCTGAAGCAGGCATGTCTCAAATTATTCAGGAACTCTTCTTCAACAGAAATTTCTAGCCTACGTAAACTGCCTTGATATTCAGTATGAAAGTTTTCTTTGACATAGTATGGCACCTTTAATCCTTGAGTTGTTCTCAGGACAGAATATTTTCTGTATACAAATTAAAATGTGCATACAATCATTTTCACACAAAAGTACACACTCTTGAAAATTCTTAAGATACTGGAAACAGCACCCAAGAAAAATAAAGTAATAGTACCGATTAAAACTAATTTATTCACTCTTAATAAATTGTAAGTACACTTACGCGTTAGAGTGCAAACTATATACAGGATCTGATATAAAGAAACTGCTCATCATAGTTAATAATATTAATAATAAAACAGGCAACATCTGAAGGAATGTGGTATATCCATTTGCTTGCTAAAAATTACAATTTTTGTCAAATTTACAATACATTAAAAATAAACATGTATTTACACACCTGAGAATGAGCATGCTGAGCTTGTGCATCTGCCTGCCTTGCCCATCTTCCAGAACGTCTTGTATAGAATTCCTGTTGTGGAAATCCACCTCCAAAGAACATATTAAACAACTCTTCTGCCGTAATATCAGCTGTAAAAAATTATTATCAGTTTGTCAATAATTACTAATTAAAATCAACAGTATTTGACATAATGCAAATATGTTGAAAGTACTTTCAAATCCTCTTGTATAATTGTAGTGTGCATGATTTTGTCTAGCTTGAACATTCTGTATCCTTTCTTCTTCTGGACCATACAAATCATATTGTTTTCTTTTTTCCACGTCAGTAAGAATAGCAACAGCATTTCCAATAGCTGCATGTAACATATATTATATGTGATAAATTGAAAATGATAAATTTATAACAAGTAAAACATCATTTACCTTTAAACGCTTCAGCAGCACCTGGGGCTTTGTTTTTGTCTGGATGTAACTGAAGTGCTAATTTTTTATATGCTTTCTTGATATCACTATCTGTTGCTTCCTTGCTTACCCCTAAAATTTCATAATAATCTTTGCACTTTTTAATCCTGTAATCAAAATGACAATATTTACATTAATTATTTTTACATCAAATATAATCTTAACAAAGAATTAATAGTTCATCCACTAATGACAAAAGATATATTTATATGAATTCAATGGTTTTACATTATGTCTATACCTTTTAACATATTCAAGTTGTTCCTTTGAATAATCAGTTGAAACTTGAGTATATGTGGTTTCTTTAGTGGTTGTTTGACGTTTTCTGACAGTAGGTTCACCATCAGACTTTTGATTTTGTTTCGAAAGCATTGTTACTTTCGCTAATACATCTGTGAATATATATTCTTTTATGTTAATTTATTCTTTGCACAATAAATTAATACATTTTCATTACTGCAATTAATAACTTGTTTAGACATACTAGTCTTTTTTTTATTATATCATTGAATAATAGAAATACACGTAAACGAAAAATTTTGTTTTTCCATTATTGAGAAAACCATGCTTAAAATAATTTCTTACAAAATTTAATAACAACTTTATTAATAAAATATATAACTACTTAAACTTCAAGTAAGATTATATACAAACAATGACGTGTATTTTACGTTAGTTTACCTTCTGCTTTTTTTGTCGGATAAAGTTTCTGTGCTTTACGTACAAATTTTTCCGCCTCTTCATATTTCTTTTCTCGCAAGTATCTTTCAGCGAGTTCCATACACCGTTCTGCCTCATCTTTATTGCTATCCATGATTTCTACTAAAGACCGAATTAAAGCTTATCTTAATGCAATGACGGGGCAGAATAGTAAATAAATTCAATAAGAAAATTAATCCTCCGCCATAGCAATTTTAATAAGTTGCGTCATGAATACAGGAGGAGCTAAGTAGAGCACTGTACTACGTGTAATAAACCCTACTGTAAGCGCTGTCTTGCGCTATCTACGGCACACTGAACACTACTCACCAATGTGAATAATTTAACCAATTAGAAGTTATACATCAAATATTTAAAATGACAGTAATATCAAATAGTTTTTAAAGAAATAGTAAGATTTGTTATTATTAATACATGTGTACGTATTTGAATGGTCGAAAATTACCATAGAACTTTCAAATAAACTTTGTCAAAATGTTCATAAGAATGTAGATAGAGATTCTGGAAGAATAAATATGTTTTTTTTTAAGATACAAAATGAATTACATAGTATCAAATAATTATTAATTTTTTATAAATGTAAATAAAAGATAATTTTCATTCGATATAAGTTCGCCTTCCACAAGAACTTGAAAATCGATTTATTTCTGTAAATAGAATTCCTAGGGTGATATAGCTAGGTCGTAAATTAAGCCTTTTTAGTTAAAGTGAAATTGAAACTTACAGAATCATATGTTGCTATTTGTAAATTTACAAACTTTCTCATTTTTAGGTTGGAAAATCTGGAAACATTTAAGTTTTCAAATTTACCAATTTTTAATTACTGTACAAAAAGTTAGAAGGATACCTTCCTATATGGCAATTCTAAGAACTATTACTATAGATTTGTTTGTGACATTATAACAGAAGTCTACTGTAAACATTCCATTCTACAACAGAATATAACTAGATGATGATTTAGTCTCACTAGCCCAGGGAAATTTTTATTCACAAATGTGATCCTCATCTAGTTTGTTTCCGACTTCGTGATATACTTGGCGGAGAAATATAAACGAATACCAATCGATGATAATGTGGTAACATACAAGACTACTTATCGACAATTGGGTAAAAATTATCGACAGTTAACGACGTAATCGACTTTATACTGAGATTATAATCTTAGGTAAAGGGATATTTTAAAACTACCATCATAATTCTTATCTTCACCACTCTAAAATCGTAGGAGGCAAAACTACTGCTTGCACGGTTGGTAATGTAGGGCACCCTATTTCGTCTGTAATAGAACAATAGATGTGATAATATTAATACCATACATTGCATGATAAATTTATTTGATTCATACATATGCAATGTTACATGCATTCGTATATAATTTCATTTTACTATCTACTCCGTGATCAAAAGAAACGACAAATCCCTGCTTTCACCACAAAATTGACCGCTTGGTGCAGCACTTTGTTCAGCATCGCTAAATCTAAGAAGTAAACACTGTGTTCCCTTCTGATCGTAACAGGTTTCTGCGATAATTTATTGATAAGTAATCTGATTAATGAAATAAATATGCATACAATATGCAAATAGATTATTTCTGAATACTTTTTCAACGCTAACTCTGTTCAGTTTTTTCAGTCTCATCACGTTCTTGCTTATTTGCAATGCATGCGTGAGTAAACCAATCGCACCGCAGAGAATTTGAATTTAAAAGCGAGCTGAAGCAGTCGTCATTTCGAATGACAGTTGCGATCTGCGAAGTAGCGGGTAATGAGACTGCAAAGACGCAAAAATTAATGTAAGGACGAAGTAGCCACGCATTTAATTTTTTGTGCTGCTTCGTTCTAAATATCGCTAAAGTAAAAATGTCGAACAGTATTAAAGTGGGTATTAAATTGAGACCTTTAAATGAACAGGAAAAAAATGATAATTTATCAATACGATGGATCGTACAAGGAAATAATGTTGTTTCCTTGGATCTGGAAACCAGAAAACTCGGGGATAATAAATTTCAATTTGGTACGATCGAAAATATTTTTATTGTAAAATATAACCATACTTATGATTCTTATTAGATGACATATTATGATTTTATTTTTATATGTTAGTAATTTATTAGTAAAAATAATTATTGATAAGTAAATAAGCGTTAAAATCTGTGGGTTATAATTGATTCGCCATTGGATTTTTTATTCTTTCAACTTTTTATGTCGCAAAACTTGTAATGCATTATATGTATTTATAACCCAATCAATGTGTTTTAGGTATCTTAATTTACTTCATACTTTGTATTTTTTATTCTTTTATCAAATTTCAGATTACATTTTTGATACGAATACAACCAATTCCATTGTATTCAATAGTATTGTGAAACCTATCGTTGATGGTGCTATAGATGGTTTTAATGGCATAATATTTTCTTATGGTCAAAGTAATTCAGGTAAAACATATACCATGTTAGGTGCTTTAGAAGAACCAGGAATAATACCTCATACAATTAATTACATATTTCATGCTATTTCAAATATGAGTGGACGTCAATTTTTGTTAAGGTTTGTGTTACTAATTAATGTTGCTTTATTTAAGAATACAAACAAAAATTATTGCCTAATAATTCTATGGTTAAATTCTCACCTTTCAGGGTATCTTATTTAGAAATTTACGATGAAAAAATACATGACCTTTTAAGTGAAACTGATATCGATTTAAAATTACATGATAGCGAACAAATAATCATTAACTGTAAAGAAGAAATTACAAACTCTGCAAATAATATGTTGTCTATTATGAAAAGAGGAATAAAGAATAAAAAGATGAAAGAAACTAATGGAACTGAATATAATAGAAGTCATAGTGTATTTCGGATTGTAAGATAACATAAGATATTTTATATTTCAAGTGCTCTATAGTTTGGTACAATAAATCAACATCATTTTTAGACAATTGAAAGTCAAGAAATTGAAGCAGACTCAAAACATTGTGTACTAGTATCGCAGTTAAATTTAGTAGATCTTGCTGGTTTTGTAAAGATTCATCATAATGATCTTATTGAAGAACATCGAATTGATGCATCAGTTGCTACTTTAGAATCGCTAATTATACAATTGACTCGAACACAAGCTGTTCAGAAACAAACTGATTATAATAATACTAATGTAACAGAATTGTTACAGTCATCGTTAGGTGCTAATGCTTTAACAGCATTAATATGTACTGTAACACCTGTTGCTTTGGATGAGACATACTACACTCTATCGTTAGTATACCAGTATTATATTACTGATGTATTTATTATCATTTTTTTAACATTTTGTTTCAATTATTAGACTTGCATCTCAAGCCAAAAATATTAAAATTATGCCACAAAGATGCATGAGGTCTGATACATCACTTCTATTAAATCACACAAAACAATTAATTAAACTTCAAACAGAACTAAAGGTTCGTATTATTATCTGTACTTTTATTTTAAGAATTACAACATTTTCTTAATATTTTATTTTTAAATCATTTTATTAGAAAATAAGAAATGAAAATTCTATAGAGTGTGAAGAAGTAGAATCTAATAATTTACAAGAGAAACATCACATTAATTCCTTGTTAGAACGTATAAAATTATTAAAGACTCAAATTATTACTGGCTGTACGAAAAATTGTGAAGAATCATCTAAACATAAATCTAGAAGAATACCCAAACTATATTTACCTACGCTTCCTACTATAATTGGCTTACCTACAATAAAAGAAATGTCACCGGAAAAACCGTGCCGAAAAAGCATTAGAGAATCAGGTGATCTTATGAATCAGAGTAAGTACATATCTATCTGTGCAATTCATTTGCTTAAACTACTGTTTATGGTTCAGTAAGTTAGTCTTACTTTATATTCTCAGCATTTGAAACAACCTTCGCAGATTTTGAGACGGAATTACTTAAGAATAAATTAAGTCGTGAAACCAAAGAAAATGGAAATTGTACCGAAGAAAGATGCATTGAATGTACAGAAAATGGTTTTGGTATTACATCTTCGAATAATAGTTCCTCTGTAACACCTGAAAAGCAAAATCTTTCGGTACAACCCTTAAGCACACCAAAGAACGTTTTACGGAAGTATATTTCAGATTTGACAAAAGATCTTACGGAGCTTCGTGAATTTACAACCTTAGAGAAACAATTGATGTGTGAAACAAATTATTGCGACGTACATAATGTAGAAACACGCGAGACCAAAGCTGGAGGGACTGACGACTCATCCTCAAATCTAATAATACAATTAGCAGAAGACAAGGTTAAATTAACAGAAGAATTAGAATTAAAAATTCAAGAACTTGATGGAATTAAAAATGATATTCAAAGTTTTAGATTAGATATCGAACAATTACAAAAGACTATTTATTTACTGACACGTGAAAACGCAGAATTGTCAAATAAATTAATTGCTGAAAAAGAACATTCCAAACAAACTGAACTGGATTTGAAGAACACAATCGAGGTACTTCATACACGTATTTCGAATATCACAGCCGAAAAAATAAATTCAGAAAATGATTTAATAATTATGAGTCAAAAATTACAAAATGCACATTTAAAAACTTCGGAAGTATGCAGCGATGAAGAGTTAATGACCAAATATCAAAAAAGAATTGATGCATTGAAAACAGAAAACATTGAATTGTCATCTATCATTGCAGAGAAAGATAAAGAACTTGAAACTATTAAAGAAAGTAAATCGCTTTTGTATGATCATGAATGTATGTACAAGGACAAAGTTGCAGCTCTTACAGAAAATAGTAAATTCTTAATTCTGGAAAATAGCGAGCTCTCTACGGACTTAATGGATAAGATCGAAGAAAATGAAATGTTAAAAAAGGAATGTGACGTTTTGAGAAGTAAACTATCTGCAATGGGAGAAGTGAATTCTGATGAAGATGACACAGAGCGATTAAGATCAGCGAATAAACTTTTGAAAGCTGAGATTGTAGAATTAAAAATGAAAATAACAATGTTAACGGATGAGAATACAAAGTTTTCGAATAATTTATTGGAAACTATAGAAGACCTTGAAAATTCACGGAGTGAAAAACAAGACAATAGCTCATTATATTTATCCACGGCATCTGACTATAAAAATAGTTTTATACAATTAAATGGACCTAAACAACTATCCCAAAATGAAAGTAGCGAGATATTAGCAAATAGAGTTGTTATGTTACAGGAAAAGATCAATCATTTGACTCACTTAAATAAAAAATTAAGCGACTTAAAATTATCATCTTGCAATCAGTGTGCTCATTTGAAGAATTTGAACGAGAGCCGTAGGGCTTTGAAACTTGAAGCGACACTTTTAAATCATAAATTGGAGGACTTGCAAAGAAAATTTGATCAAAAATGTGCTGATACAGAAGCTTTGAAAATTAAAGTAAATCAGGAGTTGAATTTAAGTTTTGGCGATACGTCTTTCAATACTACTTTTTCGGAGGGAATGAATGTAACTTTCGTAGAAGAAAAAGTTCAACATTTAAGCAGTGAATTACAAGCATTGAAGGATAACCATGACAAATTGTCAGTGCTGTACAAAGAGAAGTGCGATGAGCTCGAAAAACTACATGATGAAGTAGTGGATACAAAAAATACTGATAGTGGCTCGAAACCAAAGAAGTCTGTACTTAAAACTGAGAATAGAATCGAAAGAATCCAAAAGAGTATTGACTTAGTCAAGGACGACATAGATGAATTAAAGAAAAATAGCATGAACTTTACTTCTGTACTTAATAAATTTAGGACAGAAAAAGCGAAACTACTCGATGAAATTAGTACATTAAAGAGAATCAATGAAGAATTACAGCAGAAGGTGTCTGATAATGAAATATCAGCAGCCATAGCTACAGAGAAAGCACAACTTCTTGAAAGTGAAATGGTAAATATGAGCAAAGAAATTGAACAATTCTCTGCACTTGAAAAAACGATAAAAAGCGAAAAGCTGGTACTGGAAGTGGAATTGGAAGATTTGAAAGTTGAAAAAGAAAATAAAGATATTCTTATCATAGAATTACATAAAACGATCGATGACTTAAACGAATCTATTTCATCATTAAAAACTGAATTGAACTTGATGACTAATCAAAAGAACGAATTAACTATTTCCACGGAATTGATTAAACGTAAGTATCAAAATGAGCTGGAATCGTTTAGAAAACACTATGAAGAACTAGAGAAAGAAAATGCAAAAAGTACAGAAGCTGAGAAACTTGCAGCATTAAAGGTAAAAGAATTGGAGTCAGACGTAGAAAAGCTTCAAGCAGATTTGACAAAACAAGAAGATCTGTGCAAAGAACTTCAACGAAAAATATGTCAGTTAGAAAATCTATTACAAGAGAACGAAAATGAAAAAGAAGCACTGAAGGAAAAGCTGCAAACACTTGAAGGTAAATTGATTGATTCTGAAAATGAGTTAGTGACTAAGTATAAAAATGAATTTGAAAGCTTAACAATGAAGTTTGAGGAATACACCAAAGAGTCTGAAATTAAATTAAACAAAATTAATGAAACGTTGAACGAGTATGCTACTGAAAATGATAATTTAAAACAGAAACTTGAAAAGCTTCAAGATATTGAATTAAAATTCAATGAAATAAAGAACAAAGGAAAAGATATATTAAACAAAGAGAAACTTTTGTGTAGTGATAATAAAAAATTGAAAGAAGAATTGGATACTGTCAAAGAATGTATGGTCAATGAATTGAAGTCGCTCAAGAATAAAATAAATTCCACAGATATTTTGAACAAAACTGCAAATGAAATTTTTATAATGTTCCTGCAAGCAGTTATGTCCAAAGAAGAAGAAATAATTAAAACAATGAGAGAATCATTTGAGAAAGATAAACAACAATTGGAGGATGAAAAACAACAAAGTGCAGATGCAGAGAAACGCATGACACTATGGATGAAAGAACTTGAATCAGAAACTGAAAAATTACAAAAGGATTTAACGAAACGGGAAACTTTATGTTCGGAACAGCAAAGTAAAATTTGTCGTTTGGAACATCTTCTAAGTGAAAATAACTATGAGAAAGAGATACTTAAAGAAAAAATAGAAGCACTCGAAAGTGATTTGGGTAATTTGCAAACGGAACTAGACAAGCAAAGTACTGTGGATATTCAACAAAAAGAAGAAGAAATTATTAGTGCCCAAAAAAGAGAAAAGAAGATACAAGAAATTTATAAGAAGAAGGAACTTGAAATTCTTTCTAAAATGAAATTTGAGAAAGAATTGTACGAGAAAAGAATAGAAGATCTTAATTGTATTATAGAAACCTATAAAACAACAAATTTGGAATTGAAGAATAATATTGAAGGTCTTGAAGCAAATGAAAAACAGCTTAAGAATATTATAGATGCAAATTCTTCTGAATTAAAACAGAACAATCAACGAATAAAGGAATTAAATTTTGATTTCGAACAACTTACAGAAGCTTACAATGAAGTAAATCAGGAACTTAAACAGAAAACATCACAAATTGAAAACATTACAGCACTCTTAAAACATAAGTGTGACATGCTGTCTGAATACAAAACTAAACTTGAAATTGTCATGCCAGATTATGAAATGTTGAAAAATCAAGTTAAAGAGCGAAAAGAATGTATAGAACGCTATAAAGAAGAAATAGAAGAACTTAAAATGGAGAAGGAAAAACAAATTGAAATAATTAAAGACAAATTAAATTCTGAAGAGATAAAAAATGTAGGATTAAATAAGCAACTGAACGAATTGAATAACAGGAGCATAGCTTTGGTAGAGGAATTAGATAATCTGAAGGAAAAATATGAAGAATTGCAACATGCAAATACAAAATTGGAAAGAAAGATCAGAAATAGTACAAGTAAACTAAAAGCTGAAGCAGAAATGGAGGAATTAAGAGACATAAATAAAACATTAAAAAATAATTTAGAAGGAGCCAGTAATCGCATAACTGAGATGCAAGAAAATAAAAATAAAATTTTGAAAGAATTAGTCAATTTGAAAGGTCAATATGAAGTATTGTTGCAAGAAAATGTTGAACTGAAGAAAACACTCTCATCGTACAAACAAAACATTCCATATTTATCCCTGGAAGAATATGATTCTCTTCTTCAAGAAAAGAATAAAATAGCATTAGAATTAGAAGGTAAAAAGTTATTATTGAATCAAAGAGAGAAAGAGATAAAATCACACATGAGTCAAATAAAAGATTTAACTGTTAAAAACAGAGATTTCGAAAACCAATTGCAAAAATATACTACTATCATTAATGAACGTGATACAGAAATTGCGGACTTGAAGAATAGGCTGTATGATGATCAAACAGGAAATAAACTGGTTACTGAATTAGAAGAAAAATTGAAACTTTTGGAAGAAAGAAACAAGAAACTCGAGGATCAACTGCAGTTAAATAATAATGAAAAAGTGTTTCGCTTATTAAGGAAAGAAAATTCAGAATTACAAATTAAGCTTAATGAATATGAGAATAAATTAGATTTAAGAAGTAGTAGCAATAGTTCAAGATCAGTTAGTCCAGCCTTTGAAAATACCAGAAGAAGGCATAGCAGGAATGAGATATTTAACCAGAGAAGACAATTGGAAGATGTTATTTCTAATATAGATATCGATGAAGATGAAGAAACCTGTCAAATATTGAGGAAAAAGATTCAAGAATTAGAATTACAATTGGCAGCAAAAGAAGGTCAAATTTCAGCTTTAGAAATTCAGATCCAAAGTGAATATTTCCCTTATCAACAAAAATGTAAGGAGCTTGAAAAAAATTTGTTGGCATATCGTTTACGGGTAAGTATAAACTTTTGATCTTTTATAACATCTTTTAAAGCAATTTGCAGATAAACAGACACTGTTCGATCAGTAAGATGGAGTAGTAATTCAGCTGTTTTTTTTTAGAACACTGAACTTAATTCTGATGTACGACAACTTCAGAAAACTATAACAGATATAAACGGATGGGAATGCGATACTTGTAGACGGTGGCAAATTAATAAAAGAGACAAAGATTGTCAAACAGAAATTCGCAATCTCAGTAATGGAATAATTGATGTATGCAAATACAATAGGAATGCAAAATGTGTGATGCTATAAATTAATATTAATCGTAATAATCTGATTATAGGATCATGCAAAGATAATGAAATTAAAGAAAGAAAAAGGATTATTAAAAGATATGTGCATTTCACGATGTCGACGAATAAAAGAATTAGAGGAGAAAGTAAAAGAATTGGAAGAGCTGCAGAATACACCGGCTTTAAAATCTGCTGAATCTTTACAAGACAAGCAATGCGCTTCCTTGATGTATTTTAAAAAATCATTTGACTTGGAGAAGAATGTGAAACCGTGAGAAACACATTTCTTGAAACATATTTGGCTTAAAACTATGCTATCAAGATTAAATTTCTTTTTACTGATGCTTAACTGCTAAACTGTAATTAACTACAGGAATGAAAGCTTCCGTACTATATCTTTATTAATGTGTGCAATGTAGAGCAACTATTATGATTTAACGATGTTAAATTTAATTATAAAGTTATGTATATTTATTTTTTTTTTACAAGCAGTATTTGAATGACGCAATTTATGCAATTTATTTAAGAATGCGTTATTTATAATTTTATCAACAGTACAACATTAGTTGATAAAAATTAACTGCTTCATGCGTAGGAATAATATGTTAACATTCTTTGTTAGCTGTTTATATATTTTGCACTATCTGTTTTTCATTTTCATGCGCATCTATTTGCATGTTCAGTTTATTGTTGCATTTTATTTTTATATTGCCTTATTATCCAAAGTTCGATTTGTTGGCGTTACATATTGTATTTATTATTTTCTACAGAGAGATGAAAGAAAACGTTCCATCGACGTTAGTAGAACTAACAAATTTTTCAAATTATAGACGAAGCATACGGAATAAATACTGAAGATAGTCTTCCAGATCGCTAAAACACAAAGTATCGTTAAGTGTAAAGAAACTGCTATTCAAGTATTATATTCATTCCTTCCGTTTTCGGGATAATGTAAATACTAATAGAATTAAGGTATTTATATCGGAGGCATTATATTTTTGTATTTTCTTAAGTCTTGTGTACAGAACAGTAGAACTAATTTTTATATACATCTCGTGACGTTAAAGGTGGCTAGATAGACGTTATATTTTTTACGCCATCTTTATATACGAACTGTGATTCACAAAAACATTCACAATATAATTGTATTGATACATATAAAATGTGCCATAAATTAATATTTCCTTAGAGTTCAAATCTAAACTATATGCGTATATTGTTTAATTATAATATGTGACAGTAAAAAATGTGTTTATCAAGTTTATTTGTAACAATTTAATTAAAAAGTAACAATAAAAGAAGTATTATATAAATTTATCTATTAAAATCATATTATAACCCAGTAACATGTCCGTGGAACACTTTTTAAGCGATACATAAGAACTATTTACGTCATCATCGTGGGTGCCCCGACTACTTTTTCTTTCATTACTTTCTTTGTAAAAATAGCATGGGCGTTCCACAAGATAGTTATTAAATGATTAAACAATAAGTTTAATTAAGTTATGCACTGTATGAAAAGTCGTGAAAATAAAGAAAAATTTATCAACAATCATTGTGTATTTATTGTTACCTAAAAAACCCAACAGAATAAAAATTTACATATTCGAAAGAGAAAATTTGTAAAATTACAATCGTAGCTCTTAAATTCTAAATTCTAATTCTAAATTAAATTCTAATCGTAGCTCTTAGCTCGGTATAGTTCTCTGAAGATTTTTTAAAGCCTTCAGAGAACTATACCAATTACCAGGTCACACCACGTGGAGGTGGCTACGATAGCGACCCACCCTAACTCCAAATCCCTTCCTCCCTCCAAATGCAACCTCATTTATCAGAAGGATAAATGAGTTCTAACTCTACATA